TCCCCAAAACCCCAAAACCCCAAAACCCCAAAAATAAATTTAAAATTGAGTATCACTTTTATTTAAAGATTATAGATGGGATCCGCGCATACCACTGATAAAAAGAAGATGCCTGAAGACTTACTCAACTTGAGTAATTTCTCTCCAGGCTTTATTGCAAAGCTGAAAGACAAACTGGAGTCTTCGACCCACCAGTTCTCACTAGATAAAGAAGGACTCAAGCAAGTTTTTAATTGTTCAAACCGTGAATGAGACGTAGTATTTGAGTATTTTGACCAGAATGGAGACAAGAAGATTGATTCCTATGAGCTCTTATGTGCAATCACAATGCTGAGTCACTCAACTTTAGAAGAGAAAGCAGAAATACTCTTTGACTTCTATGATTTTGATAAGAGCAAATACATCACTCGTGATGAGTTGGTTATCTTGATGACTAATGCTCTAACTTCATTGAGAGCCATTGCTAAAGAAGACCCTCCTAAAATAAAGGAGATAGAGAAGGAAACTGATGAATTCTTCTCCAGTGCTGATTTGAATAATGATAACAAAATTACCTTGAAGGAATTCAAATCTTATTTGAAAAAGAATCCGACTGTCCTGAATATACTGATGAACTTTAATATTGCTAAGAAAGAAGACCTTGGCACTGACTTTGGAGGAGGAGATCTCCCTGAATGTGATTCTGACTTAGAAGCAGAAATCAATCCTCCTGAACTCCATCGAGATGAGAAGATTGATAAAGCTAAGCAAGGAGTTGACTTTGCAACTGCTGAAGGCGAAGGCGGCTTATTCTCAACAGAAGATGTAGGAGGCGGAGATGAATTCATGGCAGTGAAACCATGGAAAGGTGTTATTGATCATTCAGTTCCTTCCAATTATAAGCCAAGAAAATCTGACAGAGATGCCCCAGATGCTAATCTGAAGTTAGAGTATGTCTATGGATACAGGTGCCATGATGTGAGAAATAATTTAAGATATACTTCAGATGATCAATTCATATATCACACTGCAGCCTTAGGAATCTGAATGGATCCAATCAAGAATGTTCAAAAGTTCCATTTTGGACACAAGGACGATATTATGAGCTTTGCTCTTCATCCTGAAGGGAAGATTGTGGCTACAGGAGAAATTGGCCCAAAGCCATTGATCAGCATATGGGATATAGAAACTATGGAGATGATCACCAGTTTCAACGGACCATTGAAAAAGGGTATCTCTCAGCTTTCTTTCTCTCCAGATGGAAAATATCTTGCTGCTGGAGCAATGGATGATGACCATTGTGTTGCAGTCTGGGAGTGGGGGAAGAATGAAGCTGCACTTAAGAGTAAAGGCAGAAAGACCAGTTTAGTTGCCTCTGGAAAAGGAGGGAGATCACCTTTCCACTCGATGACTTTCACGCCAGATAGTAAAGAGCTAATAGGAACATGTGTCAAGGAAGTAAGGTTTTATACCTTCAATAAAGGAGTCATAAAAGGCAAAACAGGTACAGGCTGGGGAAAGACTAAACAGCAATCTGTACTTTGTAGCACATTCCTAGGCAGGACTCTTGTGACTGGTACTTATTCTGGAATGCTGCTTTTATGGAAAGGAAGAAGCATTAGTAAGAGAGTTGAAGCTCATAAAGGGGCTTGTAATGCTATTTGGAATAGAACTGCAGAGGAAGGATTCATTACTGGAGGAAATGATGGATTAGTGATAGTCTGGAACTCAAACTACGAACAAGTAAATACTTTGAATATTAAAGACCAAAGCATTAATAGCTATATTCCAAAAGTAAGAAGTGTCTGCGAAAATTCAAAAGGAAACAAGATCTTGGTTGGAACCAGAGGAGGAGAAATTATTGAATTCACAGGAAAGAAATCAGTGATGCATCTCAAGAGTCATTGCCAAGATGAATTATGGGGATTAGCTTGTCATCCAAGTGAAGATCAATTCTATACTGTTGGGCAAGACTGAATGCTAGCTATTTGGGATATCAAATCAAGAAGGCAGCAAAAATTTGCAAGACTAGACTGAGCTTCAGATGTCTTAGAGTTTTCACAAGATGCAAAATATATCGCTCTTGGATACAAGAATGGTCAAGTTACAGTCCTAGATGCTAAGAGCTTTGCTATTAGAGCCGTGAGAAGAGATAGAAAGAAAGAAATTAGTGAAATCAGGTTTGATCCAGAGACAAAAATAATGGCTGTTGGAGCCCAAGATTCTATGATCTATCTGTATAATGTTCAGAAAAAGTTTAAACCACTCAGAAAATTAAAGGGGCACCACTCAAGAATTCTTCATATTGATTTCACTGAAGGAGCTGAAGCATTGAAGAGTGTATGCACATCTTATGAGATTTTATTCTTCGATACCTCAACAGGAAAGCAAGTCACATCTGGTGCCTCAGATTATAAAGATGAAAATTGGGATACTTACACTGCAAGACTCGGTTGGCACGTACAAGGAATTTGGCCAGCCTGTGCAGATGGATCTGACATCAATAGTGTAGATAGATCTCCAGATGGAACAGTCTGTGCTACAGCAGATGATTTCGGATTTGTAAAATTATTCAAATTCCCAACTCCAGTAGAGAAGGCTAACTTCCATAAATACATCGGGCATTCATCACATGTGACAAAGGTTAGATTCCACAAATAAAGTGGACTACCTGATTAGCACAGGAGGAAATGATAAAGCGGTGTTTCAATGGAAGTATAACTTTGACCAAGAAGGAGCTGATGAAGCCAATGTATCAGATGACGATGACTCTGATTTAGATGATGAGTTCAAAACTCAAAAGTTCGAAGGAGATCAGTCTATTCCTCCTCCAAAGAACGATGATGACGATGAAGGAGGCCTCTTTGCATCTGAAGATGTAGGTGGTGGAGATGAAAGACTCGCAGTTCTTCCATTCAAAGGTGAAGTTGATAACTCTTGGCCAAGCGATTTCAAAGCTCCCTCAAATGGGGCAACTGTTCCTAATGAAAATATTGTTATGGAATATGTCCATGGATACAGAAGCTTTGATATGAGAGATAGTGTTAAATATGCTGATGATCCTAATGAAATCATTTACACTTCAGCAGCTATCGGAATTGTCCTCAAAAAGAATGAAAATGAGCAAAGATTTTTCAATCAGCATAGAGATGATGTCGTATCAATGGATATTCATCCAGATAGGAACATCTGAGCTTCTGGACAAATGGCTCAAAGAGGAAGAGCCAAGCTGGTAGATCTATATGTGTGGGACTCTGATGATTGCACTATTTTACAAAGACTAGCAGGATTCCATCGAAGAGCAATAAATGTGGTGAGATTCTCACCAAATGGAAAGTACCTTCTTTCTGTAGGAGAAGATGATAATCATTCATGAGCTATTTACGAATGGAAAACAGGAAGAATGGTCGGATCTTCAAAGGTTGGAGGAGCAAAAATGCTAACAGCTGCTTGGAAAGACGACAGTGAATTTGTCATAGCTGGAGTGAAAGAAATCAAATTTTTCACAATGAAAGGATCAAGACTAGACAATAAGAAAGGTCTATTTGGAAGAGCTGGTTCAGTACCAATCTGTAGTAGTGCATTCTCATTTGGAGGAAACTTAGTCACAGGAACTTCAAAAGGAAAATTGCTCATATGGGGAGGAAGAAAAGTAAAGAAAGAAGTCAAGTTATCTGCAGACTCTAAGCATATATGGTCTGTTTGTGCTACGAAAAGCAACTGTATAGTCGGAGATAGTGCAGGAACTATCTATTTCTTAGACAATAAATTTTCTGTGAAGGATAAAATCATTGTGAACACACAATTCAACCCTCAAATTAGATCCTTGGATTACTTAGAAGATCTCGATACCCTTCTTATCGGAACTAGAGGATCTGAAATCTATGAATACTCAGAAGGAAAGTTCACCTGCTACATGAGAGGGCATTACGATGGAGAAGTATGGGGATGAGCAAACCATCCTGAAGAAAACCTCTTCGTCACATGTGGAGGGGACAAGACAGTTAGAATCTGGAGTAACAGAGAAATGATAAAGGCTTCAGATCCATTTGAAGATGACATTAAGAGTGTTGATTGGTCAAGTGATGGAAAATTCATCTGTGTTGGTGGAGCAAATGGCAAAGCATACAATCTCGATGCTGAATCCTTAGAGATACTCGGTGAGGTAACATCAGTTCTAGCAAACAAGAGCAAGCATTGATGGCTTGAAGATATTAAATTCTCTCCAGATAATACTCAATTTGCATTCGGGACTCATGGAGGCCTCAGTAAGGTGGAACTTGTCACTGTGGACAGGAGTGGAAAGATTAGCAAAGGAAAAGTAATTGATGTAAAAATGACGAGTGCACTTACCCACCTTGATTGGTCAGTTGATGGGCAATTCATTGTATGTAACTCTCAAGCTTATGAAATCTTCTGGATCAATGCTGAATCATATGATAGAATTAATGCTTCTGATTCAAAAGACATCGAGTGGTACACCTGGACTTGTGTGCTGGGATTCCCAGTCATTGGAATTTGGCCTGGAGTAGATTTCACTGATGTAAATACTGTTTGTAGATCTCAAAATCAGAAGGTCCTTGCTACAGGAGAAGATAGCAGCAAGGTAAAGTTATTCAGATATCCTTGATACGATGAGAAAGCTAAAGCAAAAGAATACTTTGGACACTCGTCTCATTTGACAGAGGTGAAGTTCTCCCACAGAGATGACTACCTTTGCACAGTTGGAGGAAATGACAAGACAGTCATATTCTGGAGAACAGACTTTGGATCTGGAGCTGATAAGAGTGAAAGCGAACAAGATGATGACGAAGATTATGAAAATATTGAAGACATGGAGGTTTCAGAAGATGAATTTGATGATGATATTGGAGCTGTCAAGAGAAGAATAGTCGAGCAGAAAAAAGTCGCACCAAAAAAGCCAAAAGAGGAAGAAGGAATGGGATTATTTGAGGAAGAAGATGCAGGAGGTGGTGATGAATTCATGGCTGTAAAGCCTTGGTTAGGACAAATGAAGGAGCCATCAAATTACAGGAAACCTCCAAAGAACCAAGAAAAGCCTCCAACAATTGCTTTAGATCTTGAATGGATACATGGTTATAGAGCAAGAGACTCAAAGAATAATATTAGAATTCTTGCTGATGGATGTATTGCCTACCATGCAGCTGCAGTAGGAATTGTCTATGACTCAGAAGAGCATGAACAAAGATTCTTCAACAAGCATATTGATGATATCACAGCCATTGCATTCCACTCGGACGAAAGAACAGTAGCTACTGGAGAAATTGGTCCAAAGCCACATATCTACATCTGGGATGCTTGTACAATGCAAGAACTTGTGCAAATTAGAGGAAAACTAAAGAAAGGAATCCAATCTTTAAGCTTCTCTCCTTCTGGAAAATACTTGGCAGCATGTGCCATTGACGTTGATCACCACTGTGCAGTTTTTGATGTCAAATCAGGAACTTGTCTTGCCATCAACAAAGGAGGCGGCAACCAAATTGTTGACATTGCCATGAAGGACGACTCTGAGTTTGTCACTGTTGGAGTTAGACACTTTAGGCAATGGAAACTAAAATCAGGAGTCCTCAGTAACAAAAATGGCAAATTTGGTAGAGGAAAGTATTCTAATATGATCGTAAACTGTACATTCTTCAAGAACTACTGAATCACAGGTACTCTCAAGGGAGAAGTCCTCGTGTGGAATGGAACAACAGTCACTAAATGAGTTAAAGGACAACATGAAGGACCTGTTGATGCTATTGAGGTTTATGGAGACTTGATCTTCACTGGGGGAAGACAAGGAAATATAGCTATTTTGGATGAAAAATTCAATGTAATTCACAGCGTCTCAACCTCTAAACTTGGAGGTGCAAATCCAGGGGTCAATGCATTTGCATATGATGGAAGCAGGCTCATTGTTGGAACTAGAGGATCTGAAGTTTATGAGCTAAATTTCAGTATGACATCAAATGATATCTCAGTAAAGAATGAAGTAACAGCTGGCCATTTTGCTCCTTGTAGAAAGGATAATAATGAAGTATGGGGGCTTTCTGTAATTCCAGACACTGACTCCTATGTTTCAGTAGGAGATGATGGAACCATGAGAGTATTTAATGCCACAGATAAAAGAATGGAGAAGAGAATTGATCTGAACTTGGATATTGATGGAAACCCTCTTCCAAAAGATTCTAAGACAAAGGAATTAAACAATGGAGCTAAAGGTAGATCAATTGATATATCTCCAAAGAGAACACTAGCAGCTGTGGGTTTCAGAGATGGATCCCTCAGAATCTACTCTACAAAAGACTGGAAAATACTAACAGAGAAGAAAGACAGAAAGAGCTGGATTCAGGATATCAAATTTAGCCCAGAAGGAGACTACCTAGCTGTTGCTTCTCATGAAAGATTCATTGACATTTACAGTGTTGATAAGAAATTCAAAAGAATATGTTTCTTGAAAGGACATACAGGAGCGATTACTCACTTAGATTGGTCAGAAAGCGGAGAAGGATTACACAGTGTCTGTAACTCTTATGAACTTCTCTATTGGGACATGAATTCCAAGTCTCAAGATAAACATGGAGCAAGCAACTACAGAGATGAGGAATGGCATACCTGGACTTGCACTCTTGGATGGCCAGTACAAGGTATCTGGCAACCAGGAATGGATGGAAGCGACATAAATGCTGTTGATAGATCCCCATTAGAGCACAGTGATGGGTACAAAATCCTCGCAATCGGAGATGATACAGGAAAGGTGAGGGCATTTAGATACCCGTCGATGACAGAAAATAGCAAGTCTGTAATAGGAAATGGTCACTCTTCACATGTGACCATGGTAAAATTCTCTCCTAATGGAGATCATCTCTATACTGCAGGAGGAAATGATCAGTGCATTTTCCAGTGGAGAGTCGGAATGTAATATCCAAGAACCAAATTCTAAAGAATTTCAATAGCTTTGATGAAATAAGGGGTTTTGGGGTTTTGGGGTTTTGGGGTTTTGGGG